CCGACTAATTGTCGGTCAATGGTACAAAAATTGTCCGTATCCGGGCCGTATCCGGAGTAATTACCGTCCACGATTCATCCAGACCAGCTGCACCGTGATTGGCCCATCAAACACATTTCTGGCTTGCCCTTTAATGCTTACACCCGGTCTCTGAGCGTTGAAAAATATATCAAAACTTTGTTGACAAAGTTACGCCCGTATTCACAAACATTACTATGAGATCTCACAGTGCGCGTGGATGCAGAGGGTGACACACGAACCAATCACAGACCTCTATTCAACGAATGCACAGCGGCCAGCGCATTCGATTTGCTGCTTCACTTAAGCAAGCATCGTTTGTGAATACTGATGTTAGTATTTTTGCGACAAAATGGAGGTGCTATTAACATTGTGGTGTGGTTCCTGGAAAGTTAAACAGAACAACCCCCGCTCTTCCCGTGGATGTCGTAAGAGGCGACTAAGCTTGGGCGCAGACCACCGATATTTAGTTGGTCGATAGTTGGGCCTGATTCTAATTTGTATGAAGAATCGGCCGATAGCAAATTGGTGGTGTAATTTGCGCACTTTCATACATGTCCATACTGATCAACAGCCCGACCCAACTATCGGCCAACTAAAAGTCGGTGGTCTGCACCTAGGCTAAGGGAGAAAGATACCAACATCAGGCTTTTTTTTTTCATCGGGAAATGCTTTGCGCATACCCACTGGTCTATGGGGACGGCCAGTGGGTTATGTGGGACTCTCCCCGCCTACACTAAAGGCGGGGCCTACCCACTAAAACCCGACGGTTTCCACCAGAGCCCAAAGAAACGGAGCCGCGAGTTATTGTCGCTCACGAGCAAGCCTCTCTGGCTTCGAGGGAACCCCCAATCCCCTCCTCCAGTTGTTTTTTATAGAGGTTTTCTCCTCGCGGCCCTGATAAAACAGGACCCCCGGCCCGCCGTAACTCCATACAAAATACACCGGTTATCGTCAAAGTTACGACGGTCAAAGTTAGGTGGTGCAACTCATCCTAAGTGACCAGTGTACCTGCAGTGATAATGATGATTGCTATATCGAGTGACAAATCGAATAGCCATTCGGACGTCAAATGAATCATATACGGACGTCCTCCACGGTAGATTGACGCAATCGGTAGCGTGTGAATTAGAACTAATTAATTTAAACATAACAATCAATGTACACAGTTAATCACTGCCTCTGATGTATTCATAATTTCTTTATTATTGCTCTTAATGGTATTTACTTTTCAAGTTTTTTGCAGTGATGTAAAAAGCCTATTAGTTGTTCAATGAAATGGAACTTTTATTAGCACATACAGCGTTTCATAAGTTATAAGAATAAAACTGTATTAACAGTTTTACACCACTGTTATACTCGTTGGTGTAAAGGACGTGCGTCACTTTTTGTATAATGTTAAAAGGGTATTATCTTAAGACTGGTCTAATTGAAATTTTATAACTTAAACTTGACTGTAGAAAATAGTTTTTAACATCAAGTATGTGTGAGTAATTTGCGAAAGACTGGGCTAAGAAATTAAACAATCGATTTAGATCGCTCATTCTGTCTGCAGCGCTTCTTCAGATTATGGATCAATTATTAGAGAAAACTCTTTGGCACCGCGATGTAACATCGATACAGCGCCATCTAGTTTCCAAAAAGAAAAATTTACGGTGCTATTTTAACATCAATGAACAATGTGACAACTGCACAATAAACTTATTGCTAGTATAAAATGGAACGATACATCAAATCCATTACTATTCGTCTAGGAGTCATCAATCAAGGATTATTTGGTGTCCCAGTAAATCTTTGGCAATTAAGAGCATGTCGCAATTAGTGATATCGAGACGGACAGTTCCAAAGAAATGTTGAGATGGAATTATTCTCAATCAAACTGTTATCAGCTTCGCTACGAATTAGGTCTCTATCAATTTGAATTTGAGAAGGACGTCAGACAAAGACCGCACACACTGTTGGTTAGATGTCCTAAACTAAACTCTGCGACCGGCTCTGACATTTACAGGAGGGTGCTACTATCTATACCGGATTATTAGTTTCGATTTTTGCCACGTTTTTTGGACAACCATATTATGGTATAGCCTGACCAGGAACATAAAAACCCTGGCATAGAGGCGCGTCAATTGCATTTGATAGTGCAACACTGAGTACAGTCGTACCTGTGTTAAATTAATAGGCTAACTTTATGTATCAGGATTCAGGATTACGTGCTAATTTGATATTTTCATAAATTAACGAATAAAGATTATATAGGTAACCTGGTTTAAATAAATTAAATGAAACCATCAATCGAGCTAGTAGGATTTACAAGTTTTCAGTTACTGTTGCCATTAAAAGAAATTCTAAAGTTTTCCGCAACATGGCGAGGGTTTTTATGTTCCTGGTCAGGCTATATGAAATTTACAGGAGGGCGCTACTATCAATACTGTGTTGTTAGTTTATTTTTATTTTTGCGTGCGTTCCTGCTAACGGACGACTAACGTGCGGCTTAAAACAGTCGCTGTGTTGTGGACTCATTTCTTACAAAATAAAATACTGAATTTTTAAAAGAAGATTGTGTGAAATAGTAAAATTAAATGACGAGCTTTTGCACACTGGTTCGCCTGTGTCAGAGAGAGACCAGTCTGTCACTGAAATTCTTCTTGAAAATTGAAAATTGGGGCTTCCACTTCCCGTTTGCCGGGTTGAGGAGACTTGGTGGTCGCTATTGTCCTTTATTCGCTTTCGATCCACTGAAAGAGTGGAAACGGTCCTATAAATTTTATTCTGCCAGAATCACACTTTGTTGTGACATTAATTAATCAATACTGTTCCACTCGAAGCATTTATCCCACTTGTCACTCGTGTCACAGCCTTAATCGAATAGAAAACTGGACTGGTATGTCCATATCTGTCATTCCACGACGGGTATTGTACATATTTGTATGTAGTACTAGACTTAGCCATATCGGGTTAGATTTCCTATTTTTTGCGCTAACTTCTTGCAGAAGATTTCTCGTAGTTGTTTAATTGGTTATGTGTTTATTTAATAGTGGGTTGGCCTTTAGTTGTAGTCTANGTAGTCAAGTTTGAATAATGTAGGTATATTTTACATTATGTATTTACTAAGAGTGTTGGTGGCGGCCATCAACCGGCCATTGTGGAAATCATTGGGGGAGCCCCATGTTCAGCAGTGGACGTCCTATAGCTGAAAAGATGATGATGATTCTTATTTATTTCTATAAGGGGAAGACATTTCTGATTTTAGTTACTTCTCGGAACGTAACACTCAAACAATTTTGGTAAAATGCATTTGCTAGTTAATTGGTATATTCAAATCAAATCATTTTTATTTGCGGACCTGGGTTTTCTACAGTAGCTGTTACAAGTTTTAAGTATCCCCATCTTTCACCTTTATTATTATTTCAATTGAATCTTTGAAATCTTCTACTTGAAATATCTAAGACAATGGACAGCCGGCAGCTTATCTGCCATTTTTGTACCAAAATAGCCCTTATTTCAACTACTTAAGCCACAATTTGACCATCTGTACTTATACCAACAATTTGTACAAACATAATCGATCATTGACTAGATCTAGCTAGGACAAATAGCTCTTATGGCGTTCTCAATAGGGTTCAAATTGTACTCAGTCCGACTATAGTATATCTGCTAGGAAACTTTATCTTCAAGATATCGTATGTCAAGCTAAAGATAGCGGATCAGATGAGAAGACGAACTAGAACAAGTTAAGATTATCTTATTATCTGTTTGGGAGAATAATACCTAATGATGACGAAAATAGAGTAATTATATGTACTACTTATTTAATTTCAATTCAGTTCGTGTGAAATACTTAAAAAAACTTATCATAATTAACTTTAAAAATGTTTGATTTCATAAACAATAAGTATGCACCACCATGACATGAATCGCTAGCGACGTATAAAACACATGTATATTAATTTCTCTCGAAATTTGATCCCGAAATGTAGGTACACCGTTTCAGTCCGGTCCCACCACTGTGCAAACCATTTTTATTGCAAAAAAAAAAACACATAGACGTTGAGCTATTGTTGACCTCTTCCTTTAAAAAATTCTAGTTAAAGTCTACAGTCTAAAAACTATAATAACTACTGGACTTAACAGTTGTGAAGTAAACTCATATTAATCTACAATACCTTGACTAATTCGAAACAATGTTACCTAATACTAACTATTCAGCAAGGCAAACAATAGAAGAAATTCATCGGCACAATATCGTAGCACCAGAGACAATACCGAAGCTAATGGACAATGGTTGACACACTTTGTCTATGGAAATACTGAGTTTATCGTCTTCATGCTTTACATAAGTTAAACTATGTAGGTATACTTATAATCCCAAACGTTTTCCTTTAAAATCTAAGAATTTTCAAAATTTGTTAATGTAGCCAGTCATCAAATTATTATGTGCCTGTTTTAGGGCTGATTTTTCAATCGTCGGATAACTTTTAACTGAAGAATAAGTTTGGCATATTGACAGTTTAAATACTCGTATTTTGTATGCAACTATAGTTGCCATTGCTAGTTTCTTTTGGCATTATGGTGCCCACGACAGATGCCTTCATGAAGGCATCGATTTTGATTGAGGGTTCACGAGAAAAAGAGTCAGTCGGCTGGTTGAATTTCCTCCCTGGATACTTAGGTTTAGTGTAAGGTACAGGCATTAGATTGACTTCAAACTCAAGGAAACCGTACCGTAAAGAAAAATGGTGGAATTTTTTAAACGTATAACGTCAGCAATCTTACTCATTCTGAATTAATTTCAATCCTGCTACATTTTCTCAGAATAAAACTTCCTGGATTCCGTGAATCATACGAAATGCGGTTGAAATCGAAAATACATTGATAACATCTTATCAATCGAGTGTCAGCGCATAAACAAGATATCCTGTAACGTCACTGATTTGAATTGCGCAAAAAAGTAGGTCATGTGTTCACAATCTGTGAAATGTCAAGTCCCAGCTTTCAATTGATATCCCGGAGTCGAAGCAAAAAGTTGACCGTCTTGCGTTCGCGCACCCGATAAGTGCCGATCGGGGCAGTAGCGCGCGTCTTGCGTTCTCGAACGGACGTGTGAACGCGCGTGGTATTTTTCAATTTTTTCCCGCGCGATAGGAATTGTGTTACAATTTCCGTGTATCGGTCTTTCAGAGCGGAGACTGTGGTGTTTTTTGCTACTGCAAATGCGGGTTACAAATAATTGTTTTACAAATTGGCAAAAGAACCCATCAGCACTTTGTTTTGTGTAGTGATCTGTGATACAACGGTGCATTCCAAACAGTGATAATGCGAAGACAAAAATTGAACGTGGATCCCGATTTGGGGGATTTGGAAGAGATGCTGGCGAGCGTCCAGTCCCAGCTGGAGCATGAAATCGACTTGGAGAAAGATTCGAAGTTGTCCTCTTTGACAAGCGTCCATGAGTCGCCGAAAATGGCCAAAAGGACTTCTTCTTTCAATAGAGGGGATACTTTAGAGTTCCGTAGAGCCCCTAGGACTCCTTTTAACAGGGTAATGAGTGAGGTGAACTCTGGAAGTCAATCTTTAAATGGAGACTTCAGGAATGGGGAATATGGAGTGATTGAACAGTCGTTGCGAGGGTCGCAGACCAGTTTGAAGTCCGAAGAGATGGGGTCACAGACTTCGTTGAAGTCTTTTCGATCTGAGCCTCAACAGAGAATGTCTGTGTTGAGTCTTCCAGACAAAAGAGCATCGAATGCGACCTGGAATGGGAATGGAAGGTCCAGGACTGCAACGCTACCACGAGGATACGGGTCGACCAAAGAGAAGAACTGGGAAGAATACTGGGCTCAGTAAGTTATCACGTGTCATTTTTACTAACAATTCCTTAAATATTTTTGTTGGAAATTCGCCGCTAATACAACTTTTTAGTTGCACTTTAAGGCTGAGTTGCACCACCTAACTTTGACCGTAACTATGACGATAACCGGTATTTTTTGTATGGAGTTTGACAGATTTTTGACGTTTGTCAAAGTTAAAGTATGATGGTGCAATCCAGCCTAACTGTATCTCAAGCGTGTTTTTTGTATGGACTTTGACAGATTTTTGACGTTAGTTATAGTTCAAGTAAGATTGTGCAACCTAGCCTAACGCCCGAATTCACAAACATTACTATGAGGTCTCACAGTGCGCGTGGACGCACAGACAGGCACACGAACCAATCACAGAGCTCTATTCAACGCTGTGCGTTCGCTTTGTTGCTTCACTTAAGCAAGCATCGTTTGTGAATATAGGTGTTAGTCTAATGTTTTGTCGACTTTACTTGTTCACTAGACACTTCAAAACGATCATTAATCTTAATATCAATGACTGTTGACTATACTTGAGTGAGCGATGACAGGTTCAAACCATTTTTACTCAAGAGCAGAAATAGTGAAATGCTTTAGAGAGAGTTTTACTTGTTTTTTTTGTTGAGTTCAACCAACACTAATAATGTATTTTTCACAAGAGATAGGTAACATGAGATTCGACGTCATTTTCTTGATCTTAATTTTTTTATTTAAAACATACTGCAGTCGACCAGTCAATGGTTTCATGATAGAAAAATTAAAATATTGGCAAATGCGCATTGTTTAATATAACGAAGCCAAATTAATGGCGTTTGACTAATTCTCGCTTGGCACACTTTAGAAATAAAGCCTTGTGTTTACTAATGTTTTATGTTTTTGTAAATAACAGAATTTTATGAATCTCTATAGATAAGGCTTTGTAAAATTAACCTACTTTTCTTCGAAATACCTACTTAAATTTTCAGAGAAAGAACTCACAAAATCGTTTATAACTTTCAAAGTTTACCATAAACAAACAAACATAAACTATGTTAACATGAAAATTATTATCTGATAATTTTAATTACAGTTGTTATTACAAGTAATTAACCAATTTGCGGTAGGAAACGTAGTTTTACGTAATTAGTTATTGGCTTATTGCCACATAACCGTTTAATACTGCAAGGATGTCGAGGAATCCTACGTTATGTTCGTGTTCACCTACATAACCTACATTAGGAATGGAGAGGAACAGTTAAATTTAGTTATTGCACGCTTATACAGGCAGGGCAGATATGTACCATCCTAAACTGCATCTCACTTAACACCAGGTGCGATTGTGGTCAACTAACTGCCTTGTGATGCATAAAAAAATATACGTAATCTACAGTAGTTACAAACTAAATGAAGCTTGTGTACATACTATAAATGACATAACTGCCTAGCTAACTCCAGTGTACCAGTGTAATATTATTATCTGAATAAGAGGCTTTCAGTTACCCAGTGCATCTTGCACCTAGACCAATAAAACAGCGATAGAGTCGAATTTTACAAAACTATTTATAAAATGTTTGGTTGTCATCACAATCTCTTTCTTTTTTGTGTATCAATATACATATAAACGAGATACTATATTTTTCAAGATTTGAATATTTTTCAAGATTCATCATACTAATTTAGTCAATTCACGAATCCTCCGACCAATTATTACTTTTCCCAAGCACGTATACCGTTAAATTCAAATTTATCACATACTTTATGATAATCACAAACCTTGCTTTCTCGAAACCATAGTTTCGCAAGCCACTCGTAATTTTTTGCCCGTATTGTGAGCCCACATCGCCCGTATGGTGTAATGGTGGCCCACCATAGACTGTGTTACATGATTGGGCTATGGTGTGGGCCGTTATTGACGTTTAATAGAGTATAGAGTAGAACTACTTCTTTAAATGTTGCAAGGACGTATATTAAAATTCTATTATTATTTTGCATCAAAAATATCTGTCTAATAACTGTAAAACGTTTGCCAAAGAAACCAGCTTTGGCAAACGTTTTACAGTTATTAGACAGATATTTTTGATGCAAAATAATAATAGAATTTATTACAATTACAGTATACTATCTAAGATCTTTGTGCCATCGTATATATTCATCATCATCATCATTTCAACCATAGGACGTCCACTGCTGAACATAGGCCTCCCCCAATGATTTCCACAATGGCCGGTTGGTGGCGGCCTGCATCCAGCGCCTTCCCGCTACCTTTATGAAGTCGTCGGTATCGTACGTATATGTACCTACTGTCACAAAACAAATTAAATAAATACTGGTGCTGTTACTAAGTAACAGGTTAGTAGTAACAGTTAGATGGAAAAATATTTAATTAGCCTATGTAGTATGTACTCTAGTTTATCATCTTCCTTTGTCACATTCGCTGACCTTAAAAGTAATGTTTATTTATTTACTATTATGTATTTATTCACTATTATGTATTTATTCACTTACATGATATCGATGGCTCCTACGTATACTGGCGTAAGTGAAAAAAGTAAATTTTACAGGAGAGCCATTTTAGTGGCCAGAACCATATTTTTGGGTCATATCTTCTGACCTACTAAAACGAATTTAATGAAATTTCACATTTAGCCTTAACANAAACCCATAAAAACCGTTAAAAAGATGTGGACGAAAACAAAAAAACATCTTTAAACTTTGTTGTGTTTTCGTCCATGACGTCATGAGCAAGCACTGGGGTGGACGAAAACCAAAATTAGCTATTCCTGTAGATTAGTTTTCGTCCATTTGTCCTTCGACCTATTGAAATATTTTCCTAAATTTAGGTAAGAAACTTATTTAAATCTTTTTGATATCATTTGAAAGCTAACAAAATTACCTTTCAAATGATATACCACAATCCATAGTTACTGTATTGTAGAATTGTTTAAGTTAATAATTCAACTGCACCCTTTTTTCTACGCAGTGGTCGAAAACTAGCGTACACTAGGACGAAAACTGATTTTTTTGGACGAAAACTAGTGAAATCGCCTCTTTTGCATAAAATATTTTTTATAAAAAAACCCGTGGTATTTACTTATTGTCATATAATACTAACGTAAAGTAGACTATATAAGGACTAAAATGACATATGATACATATGAGTAAGGGTATTTAAAGATATTCATTTCGCATCACAAAGTTGGCAACTCCGATAATTGGACGAAAACTAGCGCACTTACCCTATACCGTTAAATTCAAATTTATCACATACCTACTTTATGATAATCACAAACCTTGCTTTCTCGAAACCATCGTTTCGCAAGCCACTCGTAATTTTTTGCCCGTATTGTGAGCCCACATCGCCCGTATGGTGCAATGGTGGCCCACCATAGACTGTTACATGATTGGGCTATGGTGTGGGCCGTTATTGACGTTTAATAGAGTAGAACTACTTCTTTCAATGTTGCAAGGACGTATATTAAAGGCAATTGGACTGGTTTCTTTGGCAAACGTTTTATCGAAGAATTACATTTATTAGACAGATATTTTTGATGCAAATTATAATAATATAATTTATTACAATTACAGTATACTATCTAAGATCTTTGTGCCATCGTATATACTCATCATCATCATCATTTCAGTCATAGGACGTCCACTGCTGAACATAGGCCTCCCCCAATGATTTCCACAATGGCCGGTTGGTGGCGGCCTGCATCCAGCGCCTTCCCGCTACCTTTATGAAGTAGTCGGTATCGTATGTATATGTACTGTCACAAAACAAATTAAATAAACACTGTTGCTGTTACGAATAACAGGTACTGGTAGTAGTATAGTTAAATGGAAAAATATTTAATTAGCCTATGTATGTACTCTAGTTTATCATCAACCTTTGTCACATTCGCTGACCTTAAAAGTAATGTTTATTTATTTACTATTATGTATTTATTCACTATTATGTATTTATTCACTTACATGATATGCGGTTCATATAATTGATATAATACACACGAGTTACTAGGTACAACAATCAGCGTCAAATAACTCTAGTTCGTGACAAGTCAAGTAGTTCGCGTCAAAGTGCCCCAAAAGTTGACAACTCAAAATAACTTTTTGCCTACTTTTGTATGTCACGAACTACCTATTTGACGCTGACTGCACTATAGTGTCATCGTCCCTCTTCTAAGTATTTTACTTATATGTTTAAAACGTAACTTAATTGGTTCGTAGCTAGCACAATAATTGGTGCATAAACCAATTATTTTCAATTGTTAACAGCTGGAATGCGCCTTGAAAAATGCACCTTCACACCTGCATAACTGTTACGCTTGTTAAATTAAAAATTACAATTAATTCCTCTTCATAATTATTATTTAAAATGCAATCGGGTCACCGTGAAAGGTTTTTAACCGACTGCAACAAAAGGAGGAGGTTTGTAATGTTTTTTTAAATATGTACAACGATACATTGTCTAGTACCCATAGTACAAGCTTTGCTTAGTTTGGGACTAGAAGCGCAGTGTAAAATGTCCAAGGATATTTATTTATTTATTTATTTATACCGAAATTTCTGATCCGACTTACGTGATTCTTTTTTTGTTCGATGCGGAATAAGTATGTAGTTGCCATTTGGTTCCATAAAAAAGAATTTAATTCGGTTGAGTAGTTTTTATTTTATAAGCATTTTTTGTTAACTCTAGGGCTGATTTTTCAACCGTCTGATAAGTTTTAACTGAAGGATAAGTTTGGCACATTGGCAGTTTCAGTATGGGAAATTATGTCAAAATGACAAGTTTATTCTTTAGTCAAAAGATGTCTAACGATTGAAAAATCAGCCCTTAATGTAATTTTATGCAGAACAAAGCAGGTATTTGACTGCAACCACACCTGATGTTAAGTGAGATGCAGTCTAGGATGGTACATATCTGCCCTGTAGTGCCTATTCACTCTCGCCTTGAAGAAGCCTGGATTAAAGTGTTCGGCAAAGACAGCAGCAGGCAGCGAATTCCAGTTCCTAGCTGTTCTAAT